TCCTGATGAGTTTATGGTCTCAGTCGCTAGTTTCAAGTCTTCTTCAACACAGCATGATGTTCATTTAGTAAACTATGGTCCCATTTAGAGGAACAGAGACCAGAAAGCAGGGGAGGCTTTAAAGCAGGGCTACAAGCTGATTGACAAGTCGCGACGATGGAGATAGCGGAGACTCAAATCCGCTGCTCTGTGTATGTTTAACGTGCACCGTTGAAAAAGCCTTTTAGAAGGCTGTTCATTTTTCCAGTAAGTATGTTTTGTTTTCAGCCTGTTTTTAACTAGCCAAAATTCACATCCTAGATATAGTCACAGATTACAGATTACAGACGTGCCTAGCTAACGAAGCTAGGTAGCGGCACCATATCGTCTAAATATGATCATGTTGGGTGCCGCTGGTTGCAAAAAATCAAGATGGCAACAGCCAAAATGCCAAACTCGAGGCTTCAAAAGGCAGTCCAGAAACCGACGGGTGACGTCACGGTGGCTACGTCCACTTCCTGTATTCTGTGGATAACAATTTTCTGAGCACCGTAAATGACTTAACTGTCAGAATTTGATCCATTCAGCTGAGAACATTTGTAAAGTCTAGAGAAGCCACACAATTATTATTTTAACCCCATTTATGTTAGCATACGGCTTAAACGGAAGTCAGCCAGCTCGGCGGGCAGAAGTCAACACAACCGAACCTAAGGCCCCACCGCCAACTAGCATTTCAGTGGTGTAATTTAAGATGTCCGTACCTGCAAATTGTCTATATTGGGCCCTTCTTACTCTGCCCTACTATACCACCATGGAAGTGTGACGATGACTGCCAGCTGACTCCAGTGTACCGCTGAAGACTGTGAAAAGCTTGATTTGTGTCAGCGAGCCAGACAACATATGACAGGTCGTCTCTGAATCAGTCTTTCTGTCTGAGTGTTGCACAACTCAACCCGCCCCCACATCAACACCCAGATCTTCAGATCGTCTGCAGATTGTACTTTCAGAAGACCCGTGACGAGTAAATATCGTCATTTACCTAAAGTTGATCCCTCTGTTTGCTTTTATTGTTCTGTTTTGTTCAGACTGGATTTACATTGCTCATTTTTGCTCATATTGTGAATTTTTGCACATTCCTTGTTAATTATCCTGTACATTTTTTGTATTAGTATTATTTTGTATACTTCTACTTCTATATTTTATGTTTATGTCTACTGTTAAGCACCAATACATACCAAGGCAAATTCCTCATAAGTGAAAATGCACGTGGCAGTAAACCTGATTCTGATTTGCATATTTTATTCATACATATAATATTATGTTACTGTTGCAATGAGTTTTATTACTAAATACAGGTTTTTAGGCGCGGTGTCAGATCACCGCAGGTCGGGTCGTTGTGAAGTGTCACAGCGACCGGATCTCGGATAAGCAGCAGAAGATAATGGGTGGATGGAAAGCAGAGTGTGTGTTTGTATTGACGGAGCACACGCTGGGTCGGGGTGTGTGTGCGGTCTTTAAAAGCTCCGGGGCAGATTTGTGAAAGTGCTGACGTGGCGGGGGCCAGGCCGACCATTGTATGACTGCAGCGTGTTCTGCCGGAGTCGGGGTCGTTTTTCATGCTCATGGGGGCCGACTGACCTTTTGAACAGCGTTTGGATTTGGACACACTCCAGATGAAGAGGGGCTCTGGGGCCCGCCTGTGCGAGCTGCCTGTTTTGGACACAATGACCCAGGAGCACATGGTAAACATAAGCTCACCCCACCCTAACCCCTGAAGCCATTGAATTGGGGGGGGGGGGGGTTACTTGTTGCTAACATGGTAGCGAGGACTGATGCAGGCCTTTCTGTCCTCAGAGGACTGGCACTTCTTTAGCAATGAGCTTCTGAGAATGGTGCAAACTACGGGGGAGCTCAGCTCCTCTTAACAAGACGGTGGCTCCCCTGATGGATCATGGGTAAATAGATTTCTGTAGGCTATGTGTTTGTGCCTTAATGAATTATTTTCATGATCAGAGAGGCTGCTGTCAGTTCATCCTGACCGATCCTGTCGGAGTGTCGGGAGATTCAAATAATCAATGATGTTATGCTGCTGTACCTCGTGCAGAAATGCGCACAGCATCCAATCCGCAGATACAACTCTGCACATCACGATGGTGACATCACGTACCGATCCTTGGGCTGATGTCTGCGACTTTGCTGCAGGGGAATAAAGACGCGTGACTGAGTTTACTTTCTATTGTGATAGTTATTGTAACACCTCTTGTGAGAAGGATCAGGGTCCAGCCTGGACACCTCTTCCTCTAGTGAGGAGGAAACTTTGATATGTGGTGGAAACCTGTTTCCATGAGATGAGATCTCTCTCTCTCTCTCTCTCTCTCTCGCCCGCCCATTGCCATGAATGTTTAGGTTATTTAGGCTGCAAAGTTGCCAGAGCACAAATTCACATATAAACAATGATGTGTGTGTGATTAAGCTCCCTCTCGCACACACACACTGTTTGGAGCAGGTTTTTAATCTTTCTTCTATGCTACTGTGGAATGAAGTAAGTTCAATATAAACCAGGCCTTCACTGTGTGCGTGTGTATATAGACCTAACTATAAAATATAAAAAAAAGTAGCTGAGATGTAACTACGCTACTTTTGCCACGTTGCTGTAGCTCAGCTTGCTACATTTCACTGGGGGGTAGCTTCTGTGTAGTGAAGCTTCGTTTAATGTAGAGTAGCTAGTAGCTTAGCTCACTACATTTTCCAAGTAGCTTGCCCAACATTGAATATAACTAATTACTTTAAAAAGACAGTAACGAGTAATCTATAATGTTTTACATTTTGGAAGTATCTTGCCCAACACTGCAAGTCTCAAATTTACCCACTACTGCTTGATCACTAGATGTGAGACCAAGTCACTGTTTCACAAGCAGTGGTGGGGAGAAACTAGTGACATGTAATTTAATAACAAAGTAAATGTAGCTGTAATCGGTTGCAGTTACTTGGAAAACTTAACTTAACTTAAATTACAGCTAGTCAAACATTTGTGATTACAAGATTATATTTGGGCGGTAACAACTAAATATTTTCTGTAAAAAGCTTGGCTAAGTGTTCAATAATATTGTTGTTGCTTTCCACGTTTTTTATGTGCCACATGTGTCTTTGTTTGTAAAGTTTGATGCTGCTCTGAGGCTTGTGATTGGTTCTCCTGTTTGAATGAGCAGCGCCACCTCTTAAAGGTAAATAACTTTGATGAAGTAATTGAAACAGTTAAACTACTATTACATTTTAAACAGGGTAACTTGTAATCGGTAACCTATTACACTGGTCATGAGTCATTGGTGTTAAAGTCAAAGTTCAGTTGCACACCTCTGATGATCACGTGATTCCTGTTCAAACTCTTTCCTCTCTACTTTACTGGAGAAGACCTGCAGGTAGTCCCCTCCTTATTAAGTGTGAAAATGAATCTTGTTGAGAGTGAAGCTGCAGCCAGTTTTCATGGCTGAGGTGAGAACAGCTGAGGTTTGTTGTTCCTGCTCGCCGCCTGTTTGCTGTTCTGCAGCCAGCGAGTTCAAGACGCGTTTCCTCCAGCTTCATCCTGCACTCCAGAGTCAGGAAAGAGGAGGAGGAGGAGGAAGGGGGAGGGCGAGGGACAGCTGAACAAACAGAGGGAACAGAGAGAGAGAGAACAGGAGGGAGAAAAGCCTGAGTTTGCCACGTAATTTGAGCGAACCCATTTATCTCGGGCCACTGGCTCTTCGGGCCTTCTGGGTGTTGAGTTTCGGTGACAGATGAAAAGAAATGAGCTGTCTCGGCTGGAATCTGAGGCCGACCTCACGCCAGAGATGAACCGGCCCAGGAGAGAGAGAAAGAGAGGGGCGGAGGTCTGGATCTGGTTTAGATCGGTCGTCTGATTGGGCAGCTTGCAGACATCAAAGCAGAGCAGCAGACCCCAAGTTTTAACCCGTCACAGTGTCTTTGTTGTTTCTTTAAAGGAATGTGAAAGTTGAAACTCATTCTTCTACTTTGCTTTTTAATAAAGACCAAAAATATTTAAATTAAAAAGTACCTTGACCTCTCAAGCACCCCCTTCAAGGGCCCTTGGTGGTCCTCAAAACCCCCACAGACCAAGAAACAGACTAAACTACACTTTATACTACTAGAAAATAATAAGTGAATAATAATAATAACATTTATTTGCACCAGACCCCCAAAGTGCTACAGATTTAAAACATATGGAGCATGAAAATAAAATCAATAAGGCAAAGAAAAGGGGTACGGGTTCAACCAAAAGGTCTCTAGGAAGATGGCGCATTTAAAACAATTTGATTACTCAAGGTCAACTTAATTGCTTTTCCCCCGTGAACTTCAAACTTCATTCACCGAGTCAAGCTCCAGAAAAAAAATGTATTTTACAAAGCTTACAAACATTGACGGGTAGCGAGGCGGTACTTTTTGTTGCCCACCAACTTTTGAAAATCATCCTATGTCAAATGATCTTTATTGATTCGGTGGTTCTAACATCCCGGGCTGGATTTTATAACAAGGCAAAGTTCTTGCTGTTGGTAGTGAACTAGTCTTGTACTGGAGCAATGCAACATCATGCACTGTGTTTATATTTTGCTTCATGCGGTGCTGCCTTATGAAGCAGTGATCCAGCCTCAGACCTGCAGCAGACGTTCTGGCAGAGCTCAATAGTGTCTTTCAGACGGGCCTGCAGACCTCAGCAGACAGAGAAATAACTAGATTGTTCACCTGTAATAATGAAACCCTGCTAAATAAAAACATGTTTAAAACTAAACTCTTAAAAAGAAAAATGTACTTAAACTCCTGATACTCAGAAGTAAATTTTTTTCTCCCTGCGGGTAATTCTTTACTTTGGCAAACTTCTGTTTGCAGGACTCAACAGAGGAATGTCATCGATGGAAAAACAAACATTACATAATCCAAACTGACCCGTTAGTCTGCTGACCTGCACCGATTTAATCTCACTAGAAGGCCGGCCGGCCCTCTAAGAAAGCAAAACACTGGAAAAGCTCTTTTAAAGGCCGTTTATTATTGATGCAACACTGACGCAGGGAGCAGCTAAAAGATTATTTTCACTGCTGATTTATCTGCTTCTGATTTCTTTCTGAGTAAGTGTTCTAGAAAATGGTGAAATAAAAAGGTTTCCTCCTGCTTGTTTTTTCTGGCCGACTGTCCAGAAGATATCCAGTTTATAAATGATCTAAAACAAGTACAGCTGAGAGGAAGCGGACTGACTTAAATCATGTTTATGTCCCCCGAGCTGAAGGTTTCAGCCCCTCTGTTGCCTTCACTGTCTCTAATGAGTAGTAAATAAAAAACAGTCCAGATTTTTCTGCAGACGTAAAGAGTGAATTATTTTACTTTTTAAATGTGTTCAAACACGAATCTGACGGTAAACAGAGCGTCTGCAGCAGAGAGACAGAGTGAACAAAGGGTTAACGTTTTTTCCTCCTCGCCGCCGCTGATCTCTGAATGGCGGCTGAAAGCGACAGGGGCCCCCCGGCATAAACACACACAGGCCCCCATTCATCCGCTCGCTGAGTGATCAGCCATGAACAGTGGAAGGCGTGTTGTTGCAGCAGAGGAGGAGGAAGGGCGGGAGGAGGAAGGGGGGAGGACAGTGACTCAGGAATTCCACTGAGGAGCACGTGACCCCTGAGCAAGGCAGTTACATCCTCCCTCTGCCCCTCTGCTCCAAGGCAGGGGCCCCTCCACACTCCTTCATGTTACTTTCCTCCAACCGAATGTGATGAGAGAAAAATCCACAAGTGGCCGAATCGAACGCTTTTAATGCAGAATATTAACTTGAAATATTAAACCACGTGTGTGCCGTCCTAACGAGAAAAAAAACAAAGATTTAAGCGCCACACAGATCTTGTCTGAAAGGAGGCCCCCCTCCCCCCGCAGGGGCCAAAACAGGGCCCAGAGGCGCCTCTGACGTCCTGGCAGAGCAAGTTATGTGGAAAAACCGGCAACGAGCCGCTCGCTCAGCTCCCAGCGTAACAGTCCCAGAGGGCCGCCGCCGCATGACCTCACGTGTTTTCACTGTAAACTGTGGGCGTGACGTTCAGTCAGTCAACAACAGGCCTCATCTGCTGCCAGCTCCTTAAAAGTAAAATAAAAAAGGACGAGATGAGGGGCGAAACCTTGATGCATTCATGCCAACATTTCGACACCACAAACACGTCAACAAGCGCCTCACTATGAAGAGCGTCGCGTTTCCACGGCACACTATTTATAGGCCCTGCTTATCTCCCCAGGGCTCGAAGGCCCCCGGAGGCGAGCGTCCTCGGCCCGCCTACGTACGATTTACTGTACAAAACGTTTATGCAACCCACTTCTGCACCCTCCCCCCACCTCCCTCCTCGACTTCTCTTCCACCCACTCCTCCCTGGAAGCCAGTTTGTTCCTGCTGGAGTTGCATCATGGCTGAATCACAGATCAGGCCGTGAGTCTCCAAACCAAACAACCTCCTGGCTCACTGATTATGGAGAATAAGCAAACCACAGAGACAGCAGAGGTATTATTACAAGGTCTGAAACTGTATTTGGCAAGTTTTTTTTTTTTTTTAAACAAGTGCATACATGTACAGCTAGAAGCATTTTTTCTGTCTTTTTTATTTTTTCTGCCAAGTGCTCAGATTAGTCACATTCTATGATTGACAGGACCGTCTCCAGACCTAAAATACACCGAGATTCAAAATAAAACAAGTGTGTGGGGTGGTGGTGGTGGTGGTGGGGGGGGCTGTTATGAGAGCACATACCTTTTTATCTTCAAAATTAGAGAAACACAAATGTATTGAAAAAGAATCAAAAATATTATACAGCCATGTTTAGGAAGCGTGCACCTCCCTCGTGTCCAGTATGTACATGTCCGTTCGTTTCTCTGGGGCTTGCTGCATGATTTATAATGATGTGTGTGGTGTTGTTTACTTTTTGTCCTGTCGCTGTTGCCATAGGCGGATTACAAAAAAAAAAAAAAAAGGAGGTCAATAAAACCAGCTGGTGAACATTTTATGGGTCTCTCTCCTTTTTCACCTTTATGTCCCCGGCCAAGATGGTGGCTATTTCCCCCTGCATGAAGGCCCAGGGCACGTTGGACCCCACCAGCGGGCACCGCTCCCCGCTGGGGCAGTATACCTCGCCGGTGGCGCCCTGCTGCTTGATGCTCTCCCGGGAGCAGGGGAAGCAGAACTTGTGCGAGGGCACCGACGGGCACTGGACGAAGTGAGTGTCCTCCAGCCGCTCGTGGCACAGAGTGCAGCACAGCGGCACGCTGCCGGGCGGCACGGAAGAGTCTGGAATGCTCTGTGGTGGCGGGGCGTGGGGGTCCATGCCCCCGGGCGCGTGTAGAGCAGAAGGGTTGGAGCTCACGGACCCTTCCCGCTGGGCCAGCCTCCTCTGAGAGGCCGAAGACGGCGACAGGGGGCTGCCGCTGTTCCGCCGTGCGCCCGCCGTGGTGGAGTGTACCTGGTTGGCATCCTTGGGGGAGCCCGTGCTGCCCGCGTTGTCCGTGGCGAGGATGAGCGCAGCCATGGGGGACTGGCCATTCTGCGCCGTGGCGGCCTCAGGCGGCGTGGTGCGGGAGTGGGGGGAGATGGTGGAAGGGGGGGCCGTTGAGAAGCCTGGCAGGGCAGCAGGGGGCATCTTCAGGACCTCGGAGGGCGAGGGGAGCCAAGGCTGGCTCTCGCTGCCGTTCATCTTGGGGGCGCTGCCCTCTCCGTCTGGCTCAGGGGAGGCCTTCCTCTTCATGCTGCTCCGCGGGAGCTTCCCCCTGTCTGAGGAAGAGGAAGAGTTAACTCAGCCCACACTACACACAAACACTGCAGCGTGCAGCTCTGTAAATAACGCAGCACAGGAAATTTCTCAGCACTGAAAAACTCTTTGTTTACGTCGCTGCTGTTCTCTGCCAAACCTCCGCGTGCACAGGGGTGAGCGGGTCCGTGTCCGCAGCGTGACATTACCGGGCACGTCGGTTTAAAAACACACGTCAGCGTTAAACAAAAGAAAAGGCTGACACATATTTCAGCGCCGCTAAAAGTTAAGTTCCTGTTTTATTTCATAACGCGTGCAACAGTTTCCCGTGCAGGGAAACAACAACAGAAAGCGCCGTTACCTGGTTTTGAGGAAGTGGCGCTGGTCTCGTAGCCCATCACCCGCTGCATGGCCGCGTGCTCCTTCTTAAACCTGCTGTCGAAGGTTTGCAGCGCCATCAGGTCCCGGACCGTCTTGCCTTTGCCTATCCACTCCTTATGGCTGTCCGACATGTCCGACAGGCTGTCCGGCCTGTGTTTGTCTTTGTGCTCGTCCTGACGCTTGCCGTGCTCCCCGTGGCCAGGCGCGGCCAGGACCCCGGGGGGCAGACCCATCTGAGCCGCGCGACCGTTCAGTTGGTGTATGGTCGGTATGCCGCCGTTCACCAGAGGCACCAGGTTGGGAGGAACCGTGCTAGTCCTGCGGGGGTTCGGACTTTGTCGGTTCAGCTCCGGAGGCTCGTCCGGTTTTGGAAATCCGTTCGGCATCGGGAGGCCGTTTGCCTGCCTCCCCGCCTGGTACTCCGGTCCCAGCCGGGGCGGCCGGTCAGACAGCGGGTAGCGGTCCAACGTCTGCGGCGGACGGGAACCCGCGTCTCCGGACGAGTGGTTTATCTCCTTCCCGGTGTGCTGGGACTTCCCCGGGCCCGGAGAGCGGCCGTCCTGGAAGCCGTGCGCTCTCTTCAGCTGCCGGGCTGTCTCGATAACAAATTCAATCCGGTCGGCCCCCTCGTAGTTGACACATCCGCGGCAAACGGGCTCGGTAAAATCCCAGATCATCGCCCACGGCATGCGGGGCAGGTCGCACAGATAACAGGACTGCCTTCTGGAGGCAGCGACCGCCGCGGAGGACATGTTGTAAACCACACAGCGAATTAACTCTCAAAATGTCCGTCTGCGTGCTCACGTCGCTGGAAAGAAGAAATAATCAACAATTAGGATCAAAGCTCGGCTGTATTTTCCGTCAGAAAGCAGCAGAGTCGCACCGCGCGGAGCTCATCGTAGTGTCCGTTGCCTCGGCGCGCCTCCGTCTGAGGCTCGCGCTTACAATTCAGCTCGAGCTCTCACTGTAGGGCCGTGACGTCAGCGCCGACACTCTGCTCGTGCTCCGGGGTTCTATCGCTGGATTCTTCGACGGCTCCTCGTGCGCATGCTCACCGTTTCAGTCTTTTCCGGAGAGAAGCTTAACAGCCAAAGATCGTCTGTGTGTGTGTGACAGAGAGACGAGGCATCACTCCCCGCCGGGTTTTGTTGTGACCCATAACTGAAGACCTGCCTGTCAATCAGAGGCAGTGTTGCGCAAGTTACTTCTAAAATGTTAATACATTATAGCCTACAAGGTAAATTTTACAAAATGTTATAAAGTGACATTTAGTGCGTAACTCCATCTACTATGTAGCAGACAATATACAGTTAATACAAAATCAATTATAAACATGGTAAACTGAAATAAACTAAATTCAGTGGAGCAGTGCTGAGGATGAATTTGAGTTTAAAAGTCTGATAGCTTGAGGGGGAAAGCTTCTCTGCAGTCTGGTGGTGCAACAGCAGAAGCTTCTATATCTCTTACCAGAAGGCAGATATAGATTGCTATAGATGCTAAAGATTACTAGCTAATGTCCTTTAAGAGTAGCTAATAGTTATATTACAATATTACTGTCTCTGAATTGTAATGCTTTACGCTGCTTTTGCGTAACTGTTAAGTTACTTCAGTATGATTCAGTAAGATGTGCCTGCACAGATGGGTTAGAGTGGATTGGTAGGGGATCATTCTGATTAATAGTTGGGGGAGGGGGAGTTGCAGATGGGTGAAATAGGATGAATCATCTCCCCATTAAGAAAGACCCCGACCATTTATAATTATATTTACACTGATCCATGATGATAAAGATACAGAAAAATAGAAATGCATGGCAAAAATAGAATATTGTCAATATTTTAGAGGAAAAAAAAGCAATACATTACTGTAATTGTGTTGCTTTTGTAAAATAATTTGGGTCAAGAAAGACGCATTTTGCCGTAAAACTGTTTAAGTATAAGACTGTGACAATACGTAGGCTACTTACAAAGACCACAAACCCAAAAGTTTCGTATATGACATCATAACTGTTTCTCTCAATGACTGAAGCTAACATCGCTGAAGCTAACTTCAAAGAGACGATGACGGGACCAGGAGGCGTTATATTAAACACATCTGGTGAGATACATCTGTACATGGAACAAAGCTAAGCTACTTAGCTAGTAGCAAACAAGCAACGAACGTTAACTTAGCACTACAGTGCTAACATGTTGGTGATGAACCCAAAAGTTGCATATGTGACGTCATAACTGTTTCTCTCAGTAACTGAAGCTAACTTCAAAGAGCTTCCATGTGTAGATGATGTGGTGAAAGTACCAGGAGTGGTCGGATTACACACATCAGGTGAGATAGCTATGTTCCACGCACAGATATAACTTACCAAGCTAGTAGCAACCAAGCAATGAATGTTAGCTTAGCATTACAGCACTAAGATGTTGGTGACGTATATTGTGCGAGACGAGAGATGTAGTTCATTGAGCAGTTTCACACTAAACTAAATGTTACTGTCCTGTTTTATGAAAAAATGCGACTGTCTTGGCTTGCAGTGTTTATGTTTATGTTTTAAATTGACAAACATCGTGTGTGATTCAGGGCACAGTTCAAATGGGATCAAAACATTAGTTGTCTCTCGAAATAAAGTCTCATGGGGTGGAAGGGAAAGGACAGACTGTATAATCTTGAAAGGCTTTGTTGGAAAATTTCTGCTTCTTGGTCACTATAATTTAAAGCAGAGTGAGAGCTCTTCCTCCGCTCTCCTCCTCTCTGCCCTCAGGGAGACCAAACAGCGTTTATAAATACCAAAACCCAGAGCAGGGAGTTCAGCTGACATCCAGCACAGACAGTCATTTAAGAGTTCAGCAAGTGTAACCACAGAATTTGTTCCAGAAAGCAAACTGAATTTTTTTTCCTTGTACAGTTTTCTTTTTTTTTTTTCCTTTTTTTTTTTTACATTTTTGCTTGCTGTCCATCAACAACACATGCAAAAAATATAAAAATGAAAACATTTTGCACAGTAAGTGAGAATGTTATTGTGGCTTGTGAAATGGCACAACTGTCTGCAGAGTGAAAGCAACAACTGAGGTTGAAGCCTGTTTTCTCCTGCAGGATCAGCTCCTTTCTGCTTGAATGGGTGCTTGCTCCTTCTGTTGCATTCCAGTTCCTGCGCCAGGCACCCCTGACATCACAGGGCAAACAGCCAATCACAGAATTCAACTGTTGTTACCAGGCAAACTGTGAAAGCCCACCTCCTGGCCGCCCTCCATTCAGACCACTAAACACTTAACATAACGTCAGTTTCTTGCTGCTTTTACCTCAAAACATCTTAAACATTTGATGTCATGCTGGGGAAATTCACTTGTTAAAGCAGCACCCGATACAACACAACAGATGAGAAAGTACAGGTTGAATAAAAATAGAATAGAAAATACAAAATATAAAAATAAAGTCCCTCCTCTTCTGCCCCATGGGAACTTATTTTGGAAAAAATATGTACGGTAATCAATGGCGAGAGATAACTAATGTTTTGATCTCATTTGAATTGTCTTCTGTCTTTCATTTTTTTCACGTCAGTTTGACACCCTAAATAAAACCTTTAAATGCACAATGCAACAGCAAAACTGTCTGCTTTTTTCTGAGATCACTTTTTCCAAAAATTAGACAATATTTCTCAGTGGCAGTGGCGTGATAAAAGTGTGACAACTTGGACGTTTTTCCCGGCCTTAGCAGCAGTAAGGGCAGTAAATAAGCAGGGTCAATTGTTCAAGTCAAGAAAGTGGCAGTTTTTTGTAAAACAGTAAAGTAACGTTTAGTTTGGTGTGAAACCGCTCAATGTATTACATCTCTTGTCTCGCACAATATATGTCACCAACTTGTTAGTCCTGTAATGCTAAGCTAACATTCATTGCTTGGTTGCTACTAGCTAGGTATGTTAGCTATGTTCCATGCACAGATGTATCTCACCTGACAACTCCTCCTTTCATCAGGTCATCTACACATGGAAGTTGTTTGACGTTAGCTTCAGTGACGTTGGCTTTAGTCATAGAGAGAAAGAGTTTTGACTTTTGGGTTTGTAATTACAGTACTTACAGTCTTATACTCCCACAGTTTTATGACAAACTGACTTTCTTGACTTGCAAAGTTATATTTTAAATTGACAAACACCATGTGTGTAATTCAGGGCACAATTAAAAAGGGGATAAAAAATTAAGCTGTCTCTCGCCATTGATATAAGGTCTCGTGGTGTTCCACCAGAAGGGAAGGGACTTTATTTTTAACCAATAGCTCACAAAAGGCTGTGGTATTCGCTATTATATCACTATTGTTTATATGATATATTTTCAATTTAAAATATAATTTCGAAAGTCATAGTTTGTCGTTAAACTGTAAGTGTAAGACTGAAAATACGCAATTACAAAGACCACAAACCCAAAAGTTGTGTATCAGACATCACAAGTCTTTCTCTAAATGACTGAAGCTAACGTTACTGAAGCTAGCGTCACTGCAGTTATTGTCATTGAAGCTAACGTTAAAGAGCTTCCATGTGTAGATGACGTGATTAAAGGACCAGGAGTTGTCATCAGGTGAGAAATATCTGTGTGTGGAACATAGCTAAGTTACCTAGCTAGTAGCAAACATGAGCTTAGCATTACAGTGCCAATATGCTGGTGATTGTGCAAGATGGGAGATTTCACACTAAATGTTACTTTACTGTTTTAAGACATACTGTAACTTTATGGATCAAAACATTTGTTGTCTCTGTACCGTACATATTTTCTCAGAAAATAAGGCCCCATGGTGGTCCACCGTAAAGAGACAGATTTCAGCTATCCATTGTCCTATAAAACAAACAGCAAAATACAACTGATGACTTTGTCGGATTGTTGTGCTTGAGCAGCAAAAAGAGAAATCTTTGTATGACTTACAAAGCGAAGAAGTTCTCTCTATTTTTAATTAAAAACATTAACCGGCCAAGGAAACCATCAATCGAAGAAGTAAAGATGGTCGACGTGAGGAGCTGATGATACAGAGGAGAAATGTTCAGGGAAAGAAGCAGCCGACTGATGTCTGATGATGTTGGTGTCTGGCCAGCAGTGAGTCAGCAGCATTATCTCTTACTCAGCCTGTATCACGGTGCTCTGCTGGACATGGCCAAGGCCCGTGTGTCTCAAGTCGGGCTTCAAAGCATCATGACATGGCCGGCCTCACTTGGCCGGCCAGCTGATGGAAAGACAGGAAGCAGAGGAAAGAAAGAGGCAGGCGTGGTGAACAATGCGTCCTGTTTTTTTCCAGCGTGTCCTCGGCCCGCTCTAGGCTGCAGGAGCAGCGAGGTGGTTGCATTCTGGATGGCGTTCACACATAATGAGTCCAGAAGAATCTACTCAAGCTTCAACTCTCTTCTCTGTAATGCAGACAAATTTGGGATACTTTAGTAGTTGTGTCTGAAATCTGTTCTACTTGTTCCATGTCCACTGTCCACAGCTATTAATCACTATATCCAAACAGAAAAGGAGTTTCTTCCAAACTAAAGACATTTAATAATGCCAAGTAACAATTAAGCATATCTTAAATCGTAGACACATCTGCAGCTGCATCTAGGACTTCAGACATCATCAAACCAAGCCTAGACAAAGAAATATGTCCTGCTATAAGATATACAGAGGGACAACCTGTAAATCTCGTAACATTGCAAAAATCAGGTATCATCGAAAAATGATGCAGAAAAACTAGTCCACACATTTTTTATTTCCAGGCTGGATTACTGAAGTTCCTTTTTATCAGGCTGCCCAAATCAACACGTTTTCGCACCCTGCTCGTCACATATGGACGCTTTGCTAGACCCCTAGGGGTCACTTTAACACCCTGGGTACCCTTTAGCGTTGTTTTTGGATGTGTAGGGTCAAGTTGGCAAGAATAAATATTCAACATCCGTTTAAGACTTTCAAAATAAAGCTAGTGGTTAACATTGTGAAACGA